ATACATAATATTTAGATAGAATAAAAATTGTATAAAAGCATCAATCTGAGTACCTTTGTCGTGAATACACAATCTATGTAATACAGTGCATTTATTATGTTATACTTCTTTCTTTGATACCATTTTCTGTTGAAAATAGTTATATAAAAGAAACAAATAAATGTCAATAAAAATGTTAATTCAGCTAGAAATCAATTCAACAGGATACGCGGTTTAACGCAGAAATTATGTTGTCTACAAACATTACTTTCACCATCTCTGCAGCCACAGCCCTGAAATTCACTAAAGAAAGGTACTTTCGTGAACTACATATAGCTTGTGTCAATGTGGTAGGCTGAGTATTTCCCGTCCTTAAAACCAAACACTTTCTTAAAAGTCTTTTTGTCGTTTTTTTAACGTTTCGTTTGATATAGTACAGTTTAGCATTCGAGTGAAACGTTTAATAGAGAGAACATATTGTCCACTCTTTTCTATAATTATATACTTAATTGCTTACCATTTTATTCCTATGAATTAAGTAAGGCTAAATTTAGAAAACATTACAACATGACAATTGATTTACTTCGACCATCAATGCACAAAGAACGTTTTCATCAAAACAATACAGTATTTTATTATCGTGAATGTTAGTATATATATTTAGTCAAACATGTTTCTATGGGAAATAAAACGAGAGTTAGTGTACGTTAGATAAATATTTACTGATCTTGGCAATTACAGAGACATGTTGTGACTCCTCATTGTTGAATCTCTTCCTGTATATATAATATACGGAGTGTTTAGTCAACACAACATATAGAACCTTGTCATATAATCTAAGATTATACAGTAGAGACGTGGCATTTAACACAAGCTCCCTTAAATGTATCAAATTTAAATTATACTAGAAGGTCCAGGAAGTATGTGTCGAATGCGATGTTATTGCAATGAATAGAGTTACACCAAATTCCATTTCCTTCAAGGTTTTTTCCACTTATTTAATCTATTTTATTTCATATGTTATTTTATAGCAGTTGTTGTTGTTTTCCCTGTTCTATTCTGACCTGTGCTGCTGTAACAACGTATCTCATTTTCACTTTACAATTGGTCCACAAGCCTTTGATAAAAACTGCCATTTCTGAACAAAATGCATCTTAAGGTTCGTACCTTAACTTTACTGTAATCATCATGGTCACCATTACTTCCACCACTATCATCATCATCATCATCATCATCATTTTATTATAATCATCCTCTAAACACATTCATACAAAGTTACATTGTTTTTATGTACAAAAGTGCAATAATTAAACCCTTCCTTTTTCTAATTACAGCTGCTTTAAACGTAAATAGGTAGAATATACAAATACTACTATTGAATGACCTTTATACTCATTAGTAAATGTAACGCTCAGTATCAGATGATGAACGATGGAATTGTTTTAGCAGATTTTTAAAAACTTGACAGAGGAGCGTTCCAAACATTGAACGCTGCTCATTTTTGACCAATGACATTGTGACCTGCTACCGCAACATATAGACTTTGGACTGCTTATTTAAGGGTAAGTAGCTTGTACTTTACTAGGTATTTATAACTAGTAACCAATTAAGTTCCTTCAGTATAGAATACAAAATGCCTTATTAAACACCTTTACACTGTCTTATAACTGTATGCTCTCTCACATGGAGGTATTTTAAATCAGAGATATAAGACATTTATCCCTCTGTGTTAATGATACACCTTATAGTATTTCTTTTGTTAATGTACAAATTAGTGTGTCCTTTATTCATTGTATGATATAAAATAAGTTACTGTAACATGAGAAGTGACCGTTTAAAAATGAAGGTATTTACCGTATAATTTAACAAGTCAAAGCTATATATATGCGGTAAAGGTTCATAATAAGACTTTTTTTCTCCCATATCTTAGAACAGTTTTAGCACATTTTTCATTTATATTTACAATGATTATTTTCATTAGATGTTTATTAGTTTAGGATAAAAATATTTTATGAGATGTTTTACAGTTATATTGTTTTAGTGGTTATAAATATAAATCATGTTGTATTGTAGGAGTCGAGAGCTCATATTATCATGTATGAAAAGATTGCACAAACGAATTACTGACATTACTAAAATTACTTGATCAGCTAGAATACTAACCTGAGAAAGACTAACTTCGTTCTGAGTGCTGCTTTTGTTTTAATAGGCAAATATTTTATATAAATATTTTCCAGACTCGGGAGGATTTTAAAAATACGTCTATTTTGCTGGCTCAATTAATGACCTCGTATTATATGATCAAACAAAATTTATTTAAATAAATGTGCAATCCCCGAAGGCGTATATAAATCAGTTAAAGTTACAGTTTCAGTCACTTTCTTTTTATACGATTTTGAGAGACAGTATAATAATCTCACGACCATCTGAAAAACTAAATAAAGGTTTCACACTTGTTACTATTCTTTTCAGACAGATTGACTGTTGCAAATTTTAAAGTTGGTCATCAAGTGTGTATTTTACTTGTATTATAAAATTATAATCACACATTCTATTGACCCGGTCTGTAAATGTAGTATAGCATTATGTAAGAAAGACCAAATTGCTTTAATGTTTAAAAGACTGAAATGGAAAAAAATCAAATATTTAGAGAAAATTAAATGTATGAACTTATCGCAAAGTTAACGTCAAAAGTGTTAATAAGCTAACTAACAAACCTAAATACTTAGTTTTCAAACGGTTCTTTTTGTTAATGTCTATTTAAAAGTCTATATTTAAAGGTTTGAAACAGAAGAATATATAAATAAATTTAATTCTACGTTTACGTTTATTTTTTCAAATGGTTTTTCGTGAAATTTGTTATGATAGGATAATTAATTAATTATTATCAACATTATTAATATGCTCGTTATGAAATATTTTGTTTGTGAAAGTACTTAGTACCCAAAAACATGTAAGGGGCGACTACTATGGTTTGATTTTTTTTCAGTTACTACATTCATCGGATTCACAAAAATTATTTATTCCGATAAAATTTCGTTCCTCTATCAAAGTTTCCTAACATTGCTCTTCTGTTTATCTTTCTATTCAAAAGAAATACTTATTTAAAAGATAAACTTATCTTAATTAAGCGTAAACAGTGTTTAATGTGTATTTATACATGCATTAATCTAAAGTTGATAACACTTGTATAAAAGTGATATCAATTAGAAACGATTACAAATATTTTATTATAAGTTATCAATTGGCAAGATGTGTAATAATTTAACAGAAACGAAAATCTTACCATTTTTAAAGAAAAATATATTTCGTTCGTTCGTTCGTGCTTGCGAGTGTGCGTACGTGCGTGCGTGCGTTCGTTCGTTCATTTCAGTTCAGTTCAATTCAAGTCATTCATTCGTTCGTTCGTTCATTCATTCATTCATTCATTCATTCATTCATTCATTCATTCATTCATTCATTCATTCATTCATTCATTCATTCATTTTGTAGTAGACATATAATTTTGTGACTAAGTTGCTATTACAGATCGTAGTTGCACTAATAAAAGAAAAGATAATGTACTTTCCGTTCACTGACCCACCGTGTAATGCTACTTGACACCGCCGACAGATTGACATGTTAAATTGTGAACATGATCAAAAAATTCAATTCGTTAGTCAGCTGGGTTCAGTAACCCAAGAAATCTTCTAAAATAATTCTTTGTTATTAGAGTTTATAAGGAGCGTTTTTATCTTACTTTTTATCAAATAGATTCAGAGAATTTCCAAGCATTTCGTCATAACAAAACTTCAAATGTGTAGAAAGATATCAAAACAAATTAAGATCGTTAACGGATATGTACATTTATAGAAATACGTGAAAATAATACATCTTTAATATAGAAATCAATTAAAACACAAAAATTGAACAACTGTCAGGTGCTCTAACTCTATATATGAACTGTATAGCTTCATTATTATTTCATGTGTGATACCTGACAATGGTGAAATAAGAGCCATTAAAGTAACAAAAAATGTTAAATTATACACGACCTATTTGGAGAATTTGAAAATGAAATAGTTAAAATACAATCAATTATTATTATTTGATACTTTAACAAGGACTATTTTGTCCACAAGTTGACAATATGTTTTACATATTGTATTTTATGATTATTTTATGAAGGTAATTGAAGGGTGTCAGTAGAGCTGTCATAGTGGCGATAAGGATCTAAGAAAATAATACCGCCCTATGTTTATCAACTTCTGTCCCCTGTCAAAAACCAACAAGATACGCATACAAATACCGACAAAATCAAAGAAAATATTTTGACACGCGCAATGAAAACATTAGAGAAAAAAATAGAGAAAGACCAAATGAGACATTGTAATAACAGGTTACAACTTTTTCGCCTCTAATTAAAGACTGTTCGCCTTTCAGAGGTAAATTTAATTGTAGAAAAAAGTGACCTGGTCACCGAGGCAAGCATTTTATTAAAATGAACGATAAAAGCAATAACGTTTGCGGCGTTCCTCGTCGCTTGTTGTGATGAGCCGTTTGGAGAACATGGTTGATAAGGGTTTAATCAACGGGTATTCTATTTAAATAAAGGGACACGGTGACATTAGAACCTGTTTGAAATGACACTTAGATTATTTGAATATTTCATTGAACATTTTGGCTTATCGCATTTCCATTGCTGTTATGATAATGAATTCTTTAGACGTCAGTACGTATAAGTATTTGATCAAATATATACATATTGTTAGCAGTGTTTGAATGTCTGGAGTTTGTCTTTGTAATCCATCTATTAGCCACTCGCCACTTTGACCGTGTTTGACCCCCTATAATAAGCCGGCTCCGTATTTTAATTAATTTAGCTTCTTTGTAGAAATTTTGTTCTTGATGTGTGTGATTTATCCCCAACGAAATAAAGTCCAAGTGGAGACGATCGGGAGATTAACGGTTAAGTGAATGACATCCGTATACTTGAAATGGTTTTAAACATATACTGAAGATGATTCATAATATTTACAGTAGGTGAGCGTGAAATTATACCGCTTCAATCTTAGTTCGTCAGTAGTCTCTCGTTGGGTACATTTCTCATTGATGAAGGCAGTACTTTGTTAGGATTTAAGATATTATAGCGAAGCCGACATCGAGAGAGAATACGTTGTATTATCAAGAATACTTGTAATATAGATAGATAGACGTACTCTGCATGTTTTGTGCAGTGAATAAGACGAGTGCGGAATGTGGGAGATAAAACGACTGGCGGAGTTTAAGTCATTACATGAGTATTTTTACTGATCGTAGGTGGATGTGGGTATTTATTGCGGAAAATAAAGTGATTGTTTTAAAATTTGAAGGAATATGTTCATTATCTGATAAGAAAATGATAAATGTGAAATGATGATATTCTGATTTACGAATATTTTATTGATTGATCTGTGCGTAAAGGTTATTGGAAATATTAAATAGTTTAAATAGACGTGAAATAATATCACTTTACAAAGTGGTACTAAAGTGTAAGTGATTAAGCTAAGTCAGGATTTAGGAACGGTGAAGATTAATTCTGTATAGATATGAACGGTTTAAACGTAATGAAAGGCTGTGTTACGTTGAGTGTATTATGCGGTCTTATGTTAGCGGTTCGAGCCCAGTGCCCGAGCAAGTGTCAGTGTTTTGGCACGACTGCACGGTGCATGTTTCTGCAGTTGGAGACTATACCTGACGTACCGAGGACAACAACAATTCTGTAAGTATTTAGACTTAAGATATAAAATTTCCCCAAACTTTTATTTACACACTTCTTATATACAATCAATACATTTACGACCCGGTGAAGTGATATTAATGATAGGGACATTAAATAAACGTGCAGATTAAAGGTAGTGTGTTTTTGGAGGTGTATATAGTGAAACTTTATTGAGAAGATTTACACTATGTACATGGTGAACATATTACAATTTAATAAAATAAAATCATAGAGTGCAGCTTATTACATACCCGAGTAGACATCTTGGTTAAGTTTTATAAAACTAGAATCCTGTTTAAATAAGTATGTGTTAATTAAATGTTTTCTCGTTTATATATAAAGTTTGTCATGTTAAAAAGTATGATTGCATGTGTTTTAAAGTAATTTATCGATGCTATCTGAGTGAAAATAAAAATAAAGTAAAAGTTAGTGTGTGGCAAGGAGGGGGTTACCATGTTTTATAACATTAACTTGTGTAACCTTAAACATGTTAAGCTATGCTATTAAACGTGCTGATAAGATCTTAAAACATAATGTAACCGATAGTTAAATACGTTCACCAGACATACACATTATATCCACCTATGACATGAGCTACATGCCAACGAAAGTTGTAATGAATAGAAACATTTGTTTTAGAAATAACATCGACCTTATTTTGAATATATTGTAGGGGCTATTTAACTGACAAAATAAGAAATAACTATTTATATCATTTAATATTATTATTAACAGTAATAGGATAAGGAGACCATATTCGTGCTACTTTTCTCTCTCTTTAAATTAAAAATAGTCGAATAAACGCACACAATGCCGATTTTATTGAAGTAACTCAATAAAGGTTTATATTAAACATAGAGAGTGTTTTATCTTGACATTGAGTGATGGGTTTTACATTGTTTTAAACACATTTTCGCCTAACATGCTCCGGGTTAAGAGGTAATTAGTAAGGCAAGCAGTAGTTAAATACACCAGTCTAAATGTGTCTGCTTTCATTAAGCTACGGAGCGAGTTTATTAATGAACAAAAAGTTACCGCGAATGACTCATTTCATTGCACAGTGTATTACCTTTTTTCATTATCAAATTCATATGCAAATTTATGTAGTTTTAATAGGTTGTTTGTCGTTATAATTTAGAAAATTCGAACATTCAGCTTTTTTGCACAAACTATGATAGCCATCTGACCCTATCGTTTAAACATTTAGAAAGGCATGGTTACATTTTGATAAAATCAGATGTCAGAGATGTTTCAAATTGTTACAAAATATTTGATATGAAACAAGCTGGTTTGTAAGGGAATGTTCTGTCGGTGAGAGTTAATTGTATAAGTGTTAGTTTTATTATGAAGTAATCATGAAGAAATGCACGGTTTCATTTTGATATAGCTCCTCATTGCCTTGTCCACAACTCAAAGTTCCTAAATTCTATATGCTTGTTTGCTCCAACTGAAAGTCAATAAAGTACACCGGATAGTGACCATCTGCTAATTTTATGGGCAATTCTTCTAGTTTAAATGCTAGTACTTCATGAGTAGTGCGTACTGAATGTGCCTACTGCCAGTTATGTCAATATGGTTTGACTGAGTCAATGATTCGGTGATAAAGTCTATATGAGCCGCGTCATGACAAAACCAACATAATGGATTTGCGACTACCATGGATCCAGACCAGCCTGCGCGTCCGCGCAGTCTGATCAGGATCCATGCTGTTCGCTATCAGTTTCTTTACTTTTTTAGGGTATGTGTAAGCGAACAGCATGTATCCTGATCAGACTGCGCGGATGCGCAGGCTGGTCTGGATCCATGCTGGTCGCAAACACATTATGTTGGTTTTGTCATGGCGCGGCTCATATACATGTACACGTTTACGAAATGTTAGATGGGGCGTTGGTATTGGTGCCTCATATAATTATACTTGTTTTGACTCACTCAAAGAGACGAAAGCAAAAATTATTATATTTTCTTAAGAAGATTTAAAACAGAAAAAAGAGTATCTAAAGAATTCCCAAAACGACAAAATGGAAAAAAACCTTCATGCTCGGTTTGATTGAGCCTGTTCATGAATGGTATAATGGTAAATGTAAGTTCTGTCTTTGCTATATACAAATATATCAGGAACTTGAATTGTTTTGTCATTGCGATATGCAAACCTTATTTTAATTCGTATTTTTTTTATTAATAAAACATGTTTCGCTGTATGAAATACTCAGCAACACTTTATTTTTTCTAGATTAAATCTACTATAAAACTGTAAAATAAAATGAATTTAATTACATCCCCACCTATATAGTAAAGACGAAACATTAAAACAATCTTTTTCTTCTTTTTTCTCATTTTTTTTAAATGCTCTTTTCTTTAATCCATAATGTTAAATTACACTTGAACTGCGCTTGTATCAAAGTCTATTCACTTAGTCACAGTATGGTAGAGGTTTTCGCATTCCCTCACCGAGAGTATATTGACTTTTGATCCGGCTATGATTTTCATAATCTTGTGTGCTGTCAAATAAATCATAGCAAAGTTGTCAGCTTAAAGTTACGTTCAAAAGAATAATTTTATATTAATCTGTAATATTGACACGATTAAGATAAAACCTTGATAACAGACTATCTAATAAAAGTATTTGCTTAGGGAGAAGAAAAATATCATTCCATTAAACATTGTTTGTTATATTTTATGAAATGATAATCTATTATTAAACTTGCAGACGACAAAATAGTTTTTATAAATGTATTACATTATGTGTATTGATTGACCTATAAAGATAGTATGTCTTAAAATGTCAGCGTTAAGCCTTAACATGCATTATCATTCAAATTTGACATGTTATCATTAAATTTCACGTCGTCTGCTGTGTTGAAACATTAGTCAAATTACCAGCTTCCGGAATGTCGTGTGTGTCTATAACTTCACTGTGAGAATATTACTGGAAAAAAACAACCCACCATTATTCACAACACGTGAAAATAGGGGCCAGTATAACAATTTCTGTGTCAGCGTCCCAGAAACTTCCACTCCATTGTAAAACGTTGATAATCTTTACTAAATGGGCTAGATATTTAAGTTTAAACTCTTTGAAATCAAATATTTAAAAAAGCATTCAATTTTCCCAGGATTTGTTCTTTTTAAATAGAGCATAAATTTCAAATATACATAACACGTTTTAAGGTACAAATTGACATGAAAGTCCAGATTTTTTTTATCTCACATGGATTAATGTTAACCAAAAAGGGTAATTTTGACTGACAGCAGCAACATTATCAGAAGTCAATTAAAATTAACTGTGTTGGTCGATCAGATGTCTATAAATTTAACAAGATTGATAGGCTAAATTAGACAGTCATAAATAATGCATTATTATATTTGCATACAATCAATTGTTAGCCTTGAAATTCACTTTTCCCACCAACAGTTTTATACTCATTTGCATACACACTGCGCTATGAACCAAGAAGCCTAGCTAGTGACGATTTGCTATGTTGTCGTATGCTATAGAAGGATTCATTGACTTGTTTATTCATCCGATTGTCTGTTCCTAATTATTAAAAATAATACTGCCAGGAATAATTAAATTATATTATTATTGTTTTATTATTTATTATGTTGTCGTTTGCAGCAATTTGTCCCATCATTACAGTGTGTGCCAAAATCCATGGCAACTTACCATCCATGTCTACTTAACGTCCATAGTCCATAGGACGATATTTATAGTCACAACAACATGTTAACATTTTGAGATGAAACCTTCGAACATTAACAAAGATAATTTTAGACCGACTTTGGTCCGTAATGGAATAAATGCACTTTTAAATCATAATGGTTACTGATTATCATGTAAAACACTATATAACTAACGATAATGAGATAATGGTTTGTCGTTCCAAATCTCCTAAAATGATACATAAACCGATAACACCGTTGACTTTTCTTCAAGAAAGAACATCTCACCACGTGCTCAGCGGCGGCTCAGCACGAGATCCGATTCCAAAATATATAGAGACGTCAATCATTGTTAAAGATACATTTGATGAGGAAATATGTTTTATGTCAGATTCTTGGACAGGTTTCCCCGGATTTCCTCACACCTGGTTTTTAGTTTCTTTGTAGTTAATATTTTCATAGACACAATCTGTTGTTCTGTTCACAGATTACTTGCTGTGCTGCTTGTTGAGAAAGGTTAACAAAACTCAGATAATCGGAAATTGGAAACTTGATTATAATAGGTATACAAGAATTTTGAGGATTTAGCAATACAATCACGTGTCCTTTGTTTCATCAGTCCTTTTCAGTCTTCATTCGGATGATTTGCTTGTTTGTGTCAATTACCACAACACATAATTATAGTTATTTCAATCAAATAACGTCAGACGGATTAGACTCGATTCTTTATCAAAATCTAACTTATTTTAAGAACATGTCCTGTGCTTTCGAATGTAATCAATTCAGACCAAGACAACAGCACAATTTGCTAATCATACCTGAACACACTTATTCACAGACATACATGCAAAATATTGATATACGTAAACGTGAAAGTGATTGACATTTTGTAGGATATGCAGAAATGCAGACCAATAATAATAACAATTGCATGACGGCTTAAACAATTACCTGTTCGAGTATATAAAGACGCAATTCATTAGCGAGGATAAACTAGTTTTGTTATACGTTGTATATCATAATATTGTAATGATAATATCATTTGATTCCGCACATATTTCTTCACATACTGTAGAAAGCTCATGTTACATATTTGTTGCCTATATACTTCATCAATCTAGAAGTAAGTCTACTGAATTTCATTTTTAATGTAACACTTAATGTAAAAAATCATGTTTCGGTACCATATAAATCTTTGTTAAAGTCTTTTCTCTCACAAAAATAGTGTTTTTTTGTGAAATAGTCCCCCGGTTTCTTTATCTTTTAATCAAATTTCTTAACAAAGCGTCTCGTTTAGCCCATTAAACTGTATCAAAATATGAAACTAGATACTTTCTTTG